TCTCTCACACACAGACCATCAATAAAATTAATCTCAATTTAGGTTGCAAACATCTCAAGTGGTTAAAAAAAAATCCAGTTATGAGAAAATCAGCAAGGTTAAGGCCCTAAAAGTAATCAGTTGCCTAGGGTGACTGCTAATTTATGTTGCCTGAATGGAAAACAGTACTGATTATTTTACTCTCCCTGTTGCTCCTCTGGAGGAAAACAACCTGTGGTTTGTGGAACAAGAATTGAGTCTGGAACAAAAATAGAACTGTATAATATAACAGTTTTATTTGAAGGTGAGCTTAGAAAAGATCACTTATCAAACAAACGACCCAAGGAAGAAGGGGCTTTTAAACAAGAGAATGAATTTGAGAATATTTGTCATTTTCCAGATACAAGACGACCAAATATACTTTGCACAACTTTAATTTCTGCTTTGCTGCCTAACCCTAACAAAATTAGGAAGTTAGATTCCCATTGCTTTATACGTAAGTGCTGATAATATGCTAGCCCTTGTAAAGAAAATAAACCTGTCATCATATGGCACTAGAAATTATATATCAGAAGTTATTGGGTTCCCTTATCTTATTTTCTACTCTAAATAGAAAATCCCTAAAACTAACTGTATTTGTGCCCCCAAAAGATATACATGTCATAAATTTCACTTTGCAAACACATGTAGACCATTTATTTTGTGCAAAGAACTATGCTGAAGAGCTTTGGTGTGTCCAGAGGCAAAAACGGTTCCTATGCTGTTTCTATCTGTGCTATTCAAAAAAACTTTTGTACTTTTAGAGACGAGGGGACTCATACGTTAAGTTAGGCTTTTGTTTATTTATATCGCAGTGTCCCTGGTCTCCTGCAAAAATGTAAGGTGAAAGCTTGTTTATAAAAAGCAAATGAATACTTTCAAGGACTTGGGTCCGTTCTAAAGCAGGACCGTGGATTCTTCAAGAGCTCTGTTCACAAAGAAGGGTTAAGTCTGTCAAAGGAGTCAAAAAGGGGTGCGTTTTGCTTTTAAATTGGACAGTTTTCCCGTACGAGCTCGGTGAGGTCCTGGTCGGCGCCCCAGAAGGCTGGGCGACTCGCGTAGATCTGACTCCAAGGACAAGAGGCCGCGGAAAGAGCCCAGTTCTGATGGGCGGGAAAGGGGCGGTGGGTCCGGACCGAGCCCCAACGGTTACAGACGGCCTGCCAGGGTCTTAGTGACCTCAGGCTGCCATCGACGCTGGCCGCGACCCTAATCTAGGAAACGTCGCCCGCACGCCGGCTGGGCGCGTGGCCACGCTGACTGCTGTCGATCTTCCCGGCTCGGGCTGTGCAAGCAGGCCGCGGCAGCGCCCTTTCGGTACTTGGAAAGCGCCGTTCCAGGAGAAAGGCCGCGAGGGCGGGGCTTGGAGCCGTGCGGCACTATTTCCTCATACAGTGGTCAGTTAGGGCGAGGAGAGGCCGCCAAGGCGGAGCGCCAGCCACATGGCGCGACCCGGCGGGGCCTCAGCGTTGGCGGGCACGGAGGACGCAGTGTAGTGCGAGAAGCTTAAAGACCAAACTGTGGAAGGATGGGTCAGCTAACGAACGTTTCGCCACAGCCCACACGCCTAAGAGGGAATTTGAGAACGTATGGGGGAGGGGCGGAGAGAACAGGCGGCTTGCATAGAGCATGCTCTAAGAGCCGTAAGTGGAGAGCCAGGCATGCGCTGTGAAGCCGGGGTGGGTTGGCAGCAGGGAGGGGCTGGCGTGAGCGGGGTGCTGTGTTTATCCGGTTTTCTGGGTGGGCGGTCAAGGCGCACGCGTAAGGGCGAAAGGCGGTGGAGTTTGATATTGGAGTGCGCATGCGCGGAGCGAGCCGGTAGCTCTGGGAGGGTGTGGAGGGGGCTCTTAGAGGAGAAGCAGGGGAAAAGGGAAGCGAAGGGAAAGGAAAGGGCGGGGGGAGGGGTGAGAGTGTGCTCTGCGCATGCGTGCGGGCGCTAGCGACGACGGCGGCGGGGGAGTCTCGGGGATGACAGTGGCTTTGCCCGTTGGGGTAACGGTCGTCGTCGCCGGCAGGGCCTGAGGCGCCGCACACTCCGCGGGATTTATTAAGGTCGCAGCAGCCCGGGCCCTACCGAGTTAAGAGTGGCGCGTGGAGTCAGGGTGAGGGCGGCGAGGCACGGGGGGAGGGGCCTGCGGCGGGGCCTTGCTGTGTGCTCTGGGCGGCGGCGGGGCCTGGCGGTGTGAGCGCTCGCCTCAGTTGCGGCCGGGCGGGAGCCGTGGGCGGCGGCGGCCGTCGTGCTTGGCCGAGGAGGTCGCCGTGTGTGCGGCGCGGAGAAGATGGCCGGGTAGTGAGGGGGCGGCGCTTGCGCCTGGTGACCTCGCAGTGAGCGACTGAGGAGCGAGGGGCGCCGCCGCGGCCCGACCGGGCCTGCTCCCCGCCCCCTCCCGCCGCCGCCGCCGCCGCCGCCGCCGCCGCCTCCTCCGGCCCGCGCACTTCCTCCCCGGCCCTCCCCTATCGGGTGGGGGACTCTCCTGCCCGCTTTGCCACCTCAGGGAACAGCGGGGTTGTAACCACCGGGGCGGAGAGCCAGGCGCAGTCCGGGCCCCGCGTCCGATATGGAGAGAGCGGCGGCGGCCTCCGCCAGCCGCAACTGCAACATTCGCCGCCGCCGCGTCTTGGTGCACTAGATTGAGGAAGTCGACGCCCGAGCCGTCCTCCTTGCCGTCGCCGCTACCTCTGCGCCGGGCGCTGTGATGGAGTAAGGGCCCTGCAGCCCGTGCGAAGCGTGCCCGCCCCTCGGACCGGGCCGGGGCCTGCTCCCGCGCCCGCCCAGCTCGCCCTGAGGAGGTGCCTCCGCGTCCGGAGATGCAGCGAAGGCCGCCCGCCGAGCCGCGGGGCTAGACTGAGCGCCGAGTCCCGGCCCGAGCGCCGAAGCCCCCGCGTTCTTCGCACCGAGGCTGCTTGGGACAAACTCGAACGCTGGTTTCTATCTTTCTCTTTCTCTCTCTCCCTTTTTTTTTTTTTTTTTTGTGTCTGCAAGTCTCAGGGACGGAGGAGGGGCGCCAAGGCCCCATGTGTGGGAGGATTGCTTCAGCTCCACAAACTTGCACGGATTTTGGTTACTACTTTGGCCAGTGGTTCTTCTCTGATTTCCTCCGATTTGTTGCAAATTCGCCATTGTTCCCTGGCTGCTTACAAAGTTGGATCCGGAATTTCTTTTCAACCGGGAGCCAACGGTGTCGAAGTGTCTGCAATGAACCCCGTGAATGCTACTGCTCTCTACATTTCCGCGAGCCGCCTAGTGCTCAACTACGACCCCGGAGACCCCAAGGCGTTTACAGAGATTAACAGGCTCTTGCCTTACTTCCGACAGTCCCTCTCTTGCTGTGTTTGCGGTGAGACGCTTTTTATTGTTCCCTTTCAGTGCTTGTTTAAAAAAATCTGGGCATTGGTAACAGGAACGGTTTGGCGGTGTGGTAGTTTTTATTAAGCTTTTGTTATTTGTGCATTAGTATACGGTCATTAGTTTCGACACTCGTCAAAGGACTTTTGCCCGGCATTTCAGAAAGACAGCTCTTCTAAACCGTTTTGTACGGCGGCTTTAACGTTCAGGACTGTTAATTCGCCTCGGGTCAATTCCTTGCCATTTCTTTTGATGGTTTTATAAATGAGTGAAGTATGCTTGCATATTGCTGCTTTTTTTTTTCTTCAGTCTTTGCTACAAGAGCTGACAACACTTACCTTGGTGAAACGTGGTTAGGCCTGGTTAAAAAATGTACATGTGGCGTGTTTGCATTTCCTCAGACTGGTGTTATGTGTGGGTAGTGGTATAATCTGATGCATCCACAGCCTGTGAACTCGGTGCAGAACTTTCCTCCGTGTTCTTCAACAAATGCTTTGACAGTTTGACGGTGAACAGTGAGCCCGGGAAGACTGATGGTACTCTTGTTTTTTAGCTGGTGGGATTTTTACAGGATTGTTCCTTGTTTTGTGGTTTTAATATGTTGCGGCCTGGTAGACGGTTATTTTAGATGGTTGGTTTTTTTCCCCCAAAAATATTTTGTGCAGGGTAGGCTACTTTCAAGTTATTTTTGAGAGGTGAAGGTATGCTAAATTGTCTAATGGAAGTGTCTCAAAAGTGCTAATAATTTGAATTAATTTTGTACCCATTATTACTTTTTAACTTTGCACCTTTTTTCAGAAAACCTGGACTGAAAACATTAATAGGAGGGAAATGGCATCTGTCAAAAAAAACACAACAGTACTATACTCCATTTCGTATTATTTTGCCCCAAGTTTTGAGGTTTTGCTGATGCACTTGTTTAGTCAGAACTTGAGAAATTCAGGCATTTCAGGTTTTCACTTTAATCTTAATTAAAAGAAATTTTGTGGCAGTAGTGGCTGGAGGAGGTTATGGTATTCATTTGAGAATCTTGCATCATTTTCTGAATAGCATTGGGGCAAGGCACTGAAGGGGGTGCAAAGGAGGTGGAGATTGTGTTTTTTGCATACCAGGTACTTAATCTCATAAACATTTAACTAACTGTTAGAATGTGATTAAGTGCTGCTGTGACTGGTAACACACACTTAACACCTTTATAGGGAAGCTTTTGCCCTGGGCAAATCACCACTGCCCTGGGCCTCAGTTTCTTAATGTGTAAAATGAGAGCTTTGGGTTAGATTCCAAATTTCCTTTCAGCTTAAATTTTACAAATGTGAATTTGCTTGGCTTCGGTGTACTCCCTCACCCCACTTCCACTTTTTACGGAGTGCTTCTTTTTATGTCTTAACAGCTTTTGATATTTTTTGAACTGAGGAGATAGAGCTGCTATAACTTCCTTTTCAACAAACCTTTCTTTTGGGGGGGGATTGCTACTCTTGTGATGTATGGGAAAGAGGGCAAAGGTCAGCCCATCCTAGCCTGCTAGAACAGCAATAGCGAGTGATGTCATTATCCAGGTAACACTCAAAGATCTGGTAAGTCTCCTTTTTACTAGGGGGATGGGAATTAACTGCCTAATTTAAGGGTGAAATGGTAGTTTTGAATCACGTAGATGCTTGGGATTTTAGGTTCTTATCAATAGCTTCAGGATAGTTGTGGTCTAATTGAACATTTTTCCAGATTCTAACCTGGGTTTTAAAAAAATGAAATTAAAGATAAAGCTACATTTAAGAAAACCCAATTGTAGCTTTTTTTTTTTTAAAGCCAATTTTGGCAACACAAGGGGAATTTTTCTGACAGTGGGGCTTTGCCATTATTATTCCTTCTTGTTCAAGCTGCTACTCCATCCTATGGAAAAGATTTGTGGGTTCTACTTTTACCCTAATTATAATTGAGTGGATGGCATAAATTTCAGCAGTCTGGATGTAGGTTCAGGCCTACCCTCTCTGACCGACCGCCCCCCCATCTCTTTGTACCTAAGTCTGTGGTTATCAGGAGATAGGAAAAATCAGTTATTTGAATTCAGAGTCAGCATTTAATCATCTTTGTATCAGGTGTTGTCCTAGACTCACTTTTTTTCCTAGCTGAAAAGCGTAAATACGTTCAAATTAGTAGGGCATGTGCAATCATATTTCATGAAGATAAATATGTAAAAGTTTAATTCTATCTTCGTGCTGTAAATAGGGAGTTTGTTTCATCAGGTCCTCTGAAGTCTGATCCAATCCTACCTTTTCAGTCTTACATTTAACTGCCCTCTTACATAATTTCTTTGCTTCAGCCAGGTTGACGTTTTTGCCTTTTCAAACATCCATGCCCTGTGTCTACCTTCTCTTTTCCCCGCCTTTATTCTCTGAAGTCTCTTCTGCCTAAAAATACTTCTTTTCTCTATGGTGTAACTCATCGATTTCCTCCCTCCTCAGTGAATTCTTCCTTGCTCACTGCAGCAAAAAGTTACATTTGTCCTTTGAACCTCTAACCCTTTGTCCCAGTCATAGGCACTTAGAGCTCTTTGGGTGCTGCTTTCATATCTAATTCTTCTGATATCTTAGGGAAACATTTCTATTTTTTTGTACATTTTTGTGTTCCTCCTGCCTCATCTACCCTCTCCTATCCAGTCACTTGCCTGTTGGTGTTTGTGACAGACTCAGAGAAGGAAAATGAGACTACTACAAACTTTGCAGTTAAGTTCAAACCTTGTTTTTTCTACTTTAACTTTTTGGCTCAGTTTCCTTTACCTACGAAAGGGGATAATTATACCTTCAAGTTTGTTTCTCCACATTTGTATTATTTGTGGGCTTATTTTTTAAGTGGGGAAAAACCTGTTTAACCCATGAGATCAAGTCTACGGACTTGTTGTCTGGCACATATTAGGATGTGGTATCTGGCACATACTATGTGCTTAATATCCCACCCTTGTACAGATGTAGAGAAAGGTAGGAGGTGAGGGAAGAGACTGTACTATTGTCAGATCAATTATTGTCAAACCTAGATTATTCACTGGAACTATGGGTTTTGTATCATGGTTCTTTGAAATGTTAATTAGCTGATTATCACTGTTTATCAGTTCTTTTGTATATTTAAACTGTCTGAAACTTCTCGTGCATGGGATAGCAGTGCTCCAGAGAATTACTGTACTTTCTAGGTCACAGAAACAGTGACCAAGACAGTATTACTGTGGGTACTATTTTTGTGTCCTTCCATTCCCCTTGTTCTAAATGTTGGACTTGCTTTATCATTTATCAGAAAGTAGAATTTCTTTTGCTGGCATGAGATTTGATAAATTCTGCCCTAGGGATTTTAAGTTTTTCATTAAATTTTTAAGTCCTCAAACGATAGAACAAGTTTGGTATATAGAATCAAATCCTGTTAGAACTGGAAGGACATAATAAGTGGAAAAATATTAGTCTTTGAGATATTTGGAGTCCTGTGAGTTTATCATGTTTGAATCTCTACTAAGGCATATGGATATTTTCTTGGTGTTTTAATTAGGAACAAGGTGGTTCTGACTTGGGATTTATTGAATTGTTGTGAAACCTTTTGGACATCCAGTTTCTCATAACATGGGAAGTTGGGGTACCTGGGTGGCTCAGTCACTTAAGCATCTGCCTTAGGCTCAGGTCATGATCCCGTAGTCCTGGGATTGAGCCCTGGGTCGTGGGGGAGCCTGCTTCTCCCTCTGCCTGTTGTTTCCCCTGCTTGTGCACTCTCTATTTCTCTTAAATAAAATCTTTAAAAAAAAAATGGGAAGGGGCTGTAGATTAATGTTCCCCACTGACCTGGGGTTAACGTAGACTGATCAGGTTTTTGTTTTAAATGTTAAGGACTTAACAAAACCCTATCACTTCTTACTCTTTGTATTCTTATTTTCCACTAGAAAGGAGGTAGTTTTTTGAGGGTGAGAGCCTTGCTTCTTCTCTTGTTCACTCTTGTAGTGAGAATTACTGGCTCAACAAGTATTTGTTGACAAGAGAAAGTCCCAAAGTGCAGATGTATTCTCAGAATAAAGCATATGCCTTAACTTTAAATAGATTAGCTCTATGAAAAATTACTTTTCATTTTCCTTTTTTTTCATTTGCCATTGTTTATGGACCCACATTGGAATTAGTGGGGTGTATGATCTCAAGAATCTTTTCTAGTTCTAGAATTCTGATTCTCCTCTTTTAGCAGAAATACTTTTTGACTGAGCAAACGATTTATAATTAACATGAATGAAATGTGAACACATAGTTTGGAGTGACTTAAACTACTTATCTTTTTTATTTTATTTTTTAAACTGATCTTTTAGATGGAAGCTAAATTAGAAGGCTATTTGAACTTTTTAAAGATTTGACTTATTAGAACGCAAGAGAGCGAGCAGGAGCGGTGGAGGAGGTAGGGAGAGGGAGACGGAGAAGCAGACTCCTGCTGAGCAGGGATCCTGAAGTGGGGCTGGATCCCAGGACCCCAAGATCGTGACTTGAGCTGAAGGTAGACGCTTAACTGACTAAGCCACCCAGGCGCCCTTAAAAGGCTATTTGAATAATTGTACATAAATGTTATGTTAATGTTTTATACCTACATTTTTTCAAGTGTTTATTGATACTTAAGAATTTATTTTTTTGTACTTAAAATCACTGTAATTAAAATTTTTCATTGCAGTGAACACACAAAATTTAACTGCTCTAAAGTGTATAGTTCTGTAATGTTAAGTATATTTACATTGTTGTAAAACCAATTTTCACAACTTTTTCATCTTGCAAATCTGAAACTATATCCATCAGCCAACTACCCTCTGCAGCCCCTGGTAACCACCATTCTACTTTCTGTCTGTCTGAATTTGATTATTCTAGATACTTCATATAAGTGGAATCATACAGTATAGGTCTTTCTGTGATTGGTTTATTTAATTTAGCCTAACGTCCTGAAGGTTCATCCATGTTGTAGCATGTGTAAGGGTTTCCTTCCTTTTTAAGG